CTCCACTAGGTCTAGAAGCTCCTGCGGCCCGCGGTGGGCAGGGAGAGGGGGGGGGAAACGCAGCGAGAAAGACGGGGAGGATAGAGTAGCGAGATTCGGCGCGAGATTGGGCGAGGGGGGCGGTAGGGAGGAGAGGAGGAGGGTGGGAGAGAGAGAAGGGGGACGGAGAGAGGAAGAGGGAGGGAGAGGGAAAGGGAGAGAGGTGGAGAGAGAGAGAGAGAGAAAACAAAACAAAAACAAAAAAAAAACAAAACAAAAAAAAACGGACCGCGGGTCCGACGGCCGAGCGGGCAAGCGGCTCGCGGCGTCCCCCCGTAGGGTTGAAGGACAGCATGAAAAAATGGGGGTGGCCCTGACGGAATACCAGTTCCCTCCGGCGCATCTGCTGACGCGACCGTGCAGGCCCGATCCGCCAGGGCAGCTTGCACCGCGGGGGTCAGGGCAGCCGCTGCGGCATGGGAAGAGGCAGCTGCCTCGTCCCGTTCGGCCTGGGCGCGACGGAGGCGCTCGAGAAAGGGGGGGGACAGTGCGGTCATGAACGCCAGCGAGCGCGTTGGCCCGCTGTCGGAAAGTTTGCACTCCCGTCGCACCGGCTGCAGCAGTGGCAGCGGGCGCAGAGGCAGGCGCGCGGCTGGTGTGCTGAGACAGACGGGAGCGCCTGTCGGTTGGCCCGGGAGCCACAGGGGCCCTGAGGTGGGGCCCCGAGGCGGGGCCGCAGAGAGGGGAAAGGCCCCTGATGGGCACGGGCGGAGAGGGCAACTCCGTCACCTGCCGGGCGGAGGGACGGCCGTGGGGTGGCGGCCATGGGCCCTGCTGGGCGCCCGAGAGGGCCAGCGCGGCCGCGCCGCGGGTGCTCGCCCGACGGGGGGGGGCCGCAGCTGCCCGGAGGGAGCCCGCTCACCACCACCCAACGACCCCGCAATGCCCGTGGGGGCGAGGGCCACGGGGAGGTGTCCCCGGGAGAGGGCCAGCAGGGTGGGAGTGGCACTCGGAGCTTGAGCGGTCTCGGCGCCGAGGTGGCCGGTGGGCGTACCGCTGGGCCCGACGGGGCACGGGGGTAGGGTGGTGATTTCCCGCCGCGGGTGCCTGCCATGTCTCCGCAAAGGCTGCGGCAGCCTGCACAGGGGAGGCCCGAACTCCCACGCCGAGGGCGTCAGTGCCACCCCGAGATGCATCGCCAGGGGCTGTAGCCCTGGCAGTGGCGCGTCCTGCCGCAAGACTGGTGCACCCGCTGTGGAGGAGGGCTGCTGGTCGGTCGGGCGGGGGCGGGGGTCATTAGGTCAGCCTCCGTCGTCAGCAGCCTCGTCGTGGTTGTCGAGGGAGTATCCGAAACCAAAGGGGCCCTCTTCGTCGTAATCTAAGCGACCTCCGAGGCGATCGTCGAAAGAAAGAGAAAGAAGAAGAGGGAGAGACAGGCTGGCAGGCAGGCAATCGGAGGAAGAGCTAGGGAGGAAGGGGAGGAGACTTGGAGAGTGACAGTACTACATACATACATACATACATACATACATACATACATACATACATACATACATACATACATACATACATACATACATACATACATGCATGCATGCATGCATGCATGCATGCATGCATGCATGCATGCATGCATGCACATACATACATACATACATACATACATACATACATACATGCATGCATCATGCATGCATACATACATACATACATACACACATACACATACATACACACATACATACATGCATGCATGCATGCATGCATACATACATACATACATGCATATATACATGCATACCTACCTGTCTACCTAACTGCCTACATACATACATACATACATACATACATACATACATACATACATGCATGCATGCATGCATGCATGCATGCATGCATACATACATACACACATACGCACATGCACACATACCTACATACATACATACATACATGCATGCATGCATGCATGCATACCTACCTACACACCTACCAACCTACATGCATACATACATGCATACAAACAAACGCGCAGTTATATATGCATGCATGAATACAGACGTACATACGTACATACATGCATGCATGCATACATACATACATACACCCACATACATACATACATACGTATACGCATATACATATACATATGCATAAACATATACATATACATATAAATAAACACATACATCTACATATACATATACATATACATATACATATGCATATATAGATTTACATACATATGCATATGCATATGCATATGCATATGCATACACAAATATATATATATATATACATATACATATACATATACATATACATATACATATACAAATACATACATACAGACAGACATACAGACAGACATACAGACAGGCACACACACACACACACACACACATACCTACCTACCTGCCTACGTTCCTACCTACCTACCTACCTACCTACTTGCGTACATACATACATACAGACAGACAGACAGGCAGACAGACAGCTATACAAGCATACCTACATACAAGCATACAAGCATACATACATAAAAGCATACAGACAGACAGACAGACAGACAGACAGGCAGACAGACAGGCAGACAGACAGGCAGGCAGGCAGGCAGACAGACAGACATACAGACAGACTGACTAACTGAATGGCTGGCAGACAGACATGCACACACATTTACACACGTACATATATACATACATTCATGCACATATACATGCCAATGTATATATATATATAGATATATATATATATATATGTGTGTGCATGCATCCATACAAGTATACAAACATGTATACATACATTCGTTCATATACGCATACAGATATATGCATACAGTTGTATGTATAAGAACATGCATACATGCATAAACAAAACATACATGCATACATGCATATGTGCATTCGTACATGCGTCCACACATGCATGCATGCATACGTACATACAAACATGCATGCATACAGGTATACAGGCATACATATATACGTGCCTGCATGTATGCATGCCAATGTGCGTGCATACATACATACATACATGCGTACCTACATACCTACATACATATACATGCATGGATGCATGTATACATACATGTACACACATACATGCATGCATACACACACACACATACATGTGTGCATGCACAGGTACACGCATGTGTACATACGTACATGCACACACATACATGCATGCATGCATGCATACATGTGTACATGCATAGGTACAGATGTTCATACATGCATGCATGCATGCATGCATATAGACCTGCGTATATACATGCATGATGACGTACACATGTACATTCACGCATGCATACATACATACATACATACATACACACATGCATATATGCATAAATACATACACACCTGCGTACAAGCATGCATAGCTACATGCATACCTACTGACATACATTCACTCATTCATACAGAAATACCTACTTGCATACATGCATGCATGCAGGCAGGCATATACATACATATGTACGTATATACATTGGTACATACATGCACACATACATAAATAGATATATATATATATATATATACACACACACATGCACGCATACACATATACACACATGCATTCATACATACATACATGGATACATACATACATACACCAACAAACAAACAAACGAACAAACCAACATGAGTGTTAGCACACGTGGACCCAACATAGTGTGTGCCTGGCAATCTATGTTGTGCCATATAAGTGAAGCGATAAATGTGGTGCGCAATTCATTGTGTGTGCAACATGTTACCCGACACGGTTTGCACAGTTTATGATGGCAGTCTTTGCGGAGCAAACTATGTAGTGCAATCATTGTGTTGCAATATGTGTAGTTTCCCAAACAGCGCTTGCACCTAGGGGCTCTTACTTCTCCTCTACAGAACTAGCCCTGATTGCGGGTCTGGCGGCTCCGTGCTCGCCGTCGCCGCCCCGTCGCCGCCTCGTCGCCGCCCGTCGTCTGGGCCTGATTGCCGGCCTGGCGGCTACGTTGTCGCCGTCGCCGCCCCGTCGCCGCCTCGTCGCCGCCCGTCGTCTGGGCCTGATTGCCGGCCTGGCGGTGTTGTCGCCGTCGCCGCCACGTCGCCGCCTCGTCGCTCCCACTCGGCGACGGGGAAGCGACGGCGACCACGGAGCCGCCAGACCGACACTCAGGCCCACACGACGGTCGGCGACGGAGCGGCGACGGCGTCCACGGAGACGCCAGACCGCCAGCAAGGCCCAGTTCCTTCGAAAACAAGTAAGAACCCTCAAGTGCAAGCACAGCGTAAGGAACAGACATAGATGAACAGATACATCGAGACAGGGAAGAGAGAGAGAGAGAGAGAAACAAAAAAAGCGAGATTTATACATCAAGTGAGAGGTCGATACACGCGCATGTACGCAGATCAGGTGAGCGCGAGAGACAGAGAAAGACAGAGAGAAGGAGAGAGGAAGAGGGGAAGAGAGAGAGAGAGAGAGAGATCCGCCGGCCCCCTTGCGGGGACACCAGGCTGCGAGGGTGAAGACTGCAGCCCCCTGTTCCAGTTGCAGTTTCCAGCTTCCACTGTCACAGTCGTGTTTTCTGCTTCCTCAATGTTTTTTGTTGCTGTCCGCGCGAGGGGTGGAAGCCCCAGACGGGATTTTTGTTACCACGCCCTGGGAAGGGTTCTCAGAATTCCTCCGGGGGCCTGGGGGGTCGTGGAACATGTAAAAACACTTGGTTTTCGTGTCCTCGAGGCCATCATCCCGAATAAACTCACCAGCTTCGGGTCCCCGAGGCCATCAACCCACGTAGATCCCTCGTAAATTACGCGACACGTGCGTCCCCGAGGCCATAAACCCTTGCAAAGTACACAATGTGTGCGGCCCCGGCGCCATAAACTGTTGCAAGTATACCATACTCGAGTTCCCGAATACATAAACACTCGTAACTTGCCTAATATTCGCGCCACCGAAGCCACAAACCCTCGTAATGTATTAAGATTCGCGTTATCGAGGCCGTAAACCTGCGCAAATGACGCAATATTCGCATATTCGAAGCCATAAACCATCGTAAGTTACATAATAGTTGCGTCCCCGATGCCATAAAAGCAGGTTCGTAGTGCGAACCGTCTGAGTTCGAACGCAGTTCTTCAGGTTTGCAGAGCAAACCGTGCAATAAAATATTGGCCCTCGCGTGAAGTCCCGACATTGCTTCACGTCAGCGTCCGAACATCCCAACACAGTTCTAGCAAGTCCCATTCTAAGAAAGGGGGGCTGGCGGCAGGGGGCGAAGCCCTTACGGATAGAACGAGACAGACACAGAAAAAAAATATCCTTGCGAAAGACCCAACCATGCGCAATTGTGATTACCGCGATGTGGGTACCGCTTTCGGTGGAGCTCCCTGTGGGGCCACGAACCGTGTGAGGGGTGTGCCGATACGGGCGTGGGGCGCATGCGGCCTGTGCCACTGGGGCCTTCGGTGGAGCTCCCTGTGGGGCCACCAACCGTCTGAGGGGTGCGCCGAAATGGGTGGCGGTCCCCACATGCGGACCCTGCCGCTGGGGCATTCGGTGGAGCTCCCTGTGGGTCCACGAACCCTGTTGCGCCACGAACTGTGAGAAGGGTGTGCCAAAATGGGTGGCGTTCCCCACATGCGGAGCCTGCCACTGGGGCCTTCGGTGGAGCTCCCTGTGGGGCCGAACCGTGTGAGGGGTGTGCCAAAACGGGTGGCGGACCCCGCATGCGGCCCGTACCACTGGGGCCTTCGGTGGAGCTCCCTGTGGGGCCACGAACCGTGTGAGGGGTGTGCCGAAATGGGTGGCGGTCCCCGCATGCGGACCCTGCCGCTGGGGCCTTCGGTGGAGCTCCCTGTGGGGCCACTGTCCTCGTGAGGGGTGTGCCAAAATGGGTGGCGGTCCCCGCATGCGAACCCTGCCACCGGGGCCTTCGGTGGAGCTCCTTGTGGGGCCACCAACCGTCTGAGGGGTGTGCCTAAATGAGTGCGGTCCCCGCATGCGGACCCGCCACTGGGGCCTTCGGGGGAGCTCCCTGTGGGGCCACGAACCCTGTGGGGCCACGAACCGTGTGAGGGGTGTGCCTAAACTGGTGGCGGTCCCCGCATGCAGTTGGCCAGCGGTGGCCGGGGGACCCGCCGTGGTGTCCCGATGGTGTCCCGTGGTGTCCCGTGGTGTCCCGTGGTGTCCCATGGTGTCCCGCGGTGGCCCCGGGTGTCCCGTGGCGTGGTATCCCTTGGTGTCCCTTGGTGTCCCATGAGATCGATAGTGAGATAGACAGTGAGATCGATAGTGAGATCAAGAGGGAGATCGATAATGAGATGAATAGTGAGATCGACTGCGAGGCCGACTGTGAGATGGATTATTCGACCAATAGTAAGATCGATAGTGAGACTGAGAATGGTATCGATGGTGAAATCGATAGTGGGATCGATGGTCAGATCAATAGTGATGTCGATGCTGAGATCGATAGTGGGATCAGTTGTGAGATCGATTGTCATATCGATAGCGATGCCGTTAGTGCGGCCGAAAGTGTGATCGATAGTGCGTTCACTAGTGAGATCGAGTGAGATCGATAGTGATATCGATTGTGAGATAGCTAGTGATGGTATAGGTTGTGAAATCGATAGTGAGATCGATAGTGCGTTATATAGTGAGATCGAGTGAGATCGATAGTGATATCGACTGTGAGATAGCTAGTGAGGAGATAAGTTGTGAAATCGATAGTGAGATCGATAGTGCGATCAATAGTGGGACAACTATTGAGATCGATAGTGATATTGATGGTGAGATCGACAGGGAGGTGATTGTGAGATCGATAATGAGATCGATAGGGAGTTTGACAGTGAGATCGATAGTGATATCGTTAGTGAAATCAGTAGTGATATCGATTGCGATATCGACAGTGAGATCTATGGTGAGGTCGATTGTCAGATCGATGGTGAGATCCATAGTGAGATCGATTGTGGGATCGAGAGTGAGAGTAGTGCTATTAATTGAGTGAGACGTTGGTTGCGTAGCCTCCCCTCCGAGCCTCCTTACCACCCCAAGTGTGGTCGTGAAGGTATGGTCCTCATGCCCCTCCCCGCCCAGAAGGAGAGAGAAGGAGAGAGAAGGAGAGAAGAGAGGGTACCGCTCCTTCACGTCGGCCCCCTTCTCGGTGCGCTCCTTGAACTCCTGACCGCCAGGGGGGAAAACCCAGCGCTCTCCGGCGAGGCGAGCCTCGCCCACGCGGCCTCCCTTCTGGCGCACAGCGGCCGCCTCCGGCGGCGACTGGAGTAACTATCGGGGGTCGCTGCGTGCCCCCCCCATGGGCCCATCCCCCCTCAACGATCCCCCCTCAGCTTGCCCCCAACGTCTCTCCTGCCACCTCCTCCCCCCTCCCGACTCCATCCACCCTCCCTGCCAGCGCCAGCCTCCCTCCTCCGCCCTGCCTGCCGCCCCGTGCCCGCGCCAGCAGGCCCCTCAGTTCCCCACTGCTCCTGCCCCCAGCTCCTCCCTCCTCCATCCCCCTTCCTCTTCCCCCCCCCTCCCTGGCTTGCTCCCCCCCTCCTCCCTCCTCGACTCTCCCCCCTATCGTCCTTCTGATCTCCATCTCTCCTCCTGCTCCTCCCCCTCCGCCTCCCACGCCCCCGCCTTCTCCTCCCCATCCTACTCCGTCCCCCTCTCCCCCTTGCCCCCCCTCCCCTCTTCCTTGTCCTCCATTACTTTTCCTCATAAATGAATACTCCCTGTCGGGCCCCTAGGCCAGTCGGAAGGACGGGTCGGCCGTGTCCGCCTGACACTTCCTCGCCAATGATCCTCAAGCCAAATCATTAACACCAATTTCACAAATGGAAGGCGGGTCGCAATCAAAATGTGGACCTCGCCTTCGCGCCACGCACACTCATCTCTAAAATGTCCAAGGACTTCATGGATTGAGGGCGGGGTGGGGCAAAATATGGCTCTCGCCTTGGCGCCGCGCACATTCGTCTGAAAAACTGCAAGAATTTCACGGATTAGGGGCGTTCCTTTCCAAAATGCGGCTCTCGCTTTAGCGCCGCGAACATTCATGTTAAAATGATGCCAGAGTTGTTTGGAATCCCTTGGTTAACATACCAGAAAGTGTGTTTGAGAACTTCTCAGGATTGCCAGGGCGCACTGGTTACACGAATTCGCGGTGTTGAAGTCCCAGGAATGCTGTTCTGACAAGCTTCAGGATCGTCAAGACGCAACAGTCAGGTTGATTCGTAGCGTTGGAGTCCCGAGCATGGTATCTTGGCACGCTTCAGGATCTTCAAACAGTTTTCTCCCAAAGGGGCACTTCCCTCAGTGGCAATGAACCCTTGTAGGGGCCTGTGAAGACGGAGCTTGAAGGGTCCTCCTCCTCCTCCTCATCCTCCTCCTCCTCCTCCTCCGCCTGCTCGTCCTCATCCTTCTCGTCCCCTCCTCCTCCTCCTCCTTCTCCTCCTCCTCCTCCTCCTCCTGCTCGTTCTCATCCTTCTGCCCCGCCGCCACTTCGTCTCGATGTTGCTCTCTCTGTTTGGCTCTGTCTCCCCCAGGTACATGAAGCACTCACTCAAAGATCAATGATACTGTACCAGCCTAAAGATGCGAGTGGGCGCGCGACCATCTAGCAGCACCTCGTCCGAGCACTGTATCGAGGACGTGGCAAGTGCTGCACGCGCACAAACCCATGCTACCACACCTCTGCTTAGCTTGGAAGTACACTCAGGAGAGGCACTCGCAGACGAAGCGCTGACACGACATCGCGCCCGGGCTCGGCGAAACCAACGAGATCTAGCAAACAGACTTGTGCGAACCCGGCAGGGGAGCGGGAGGAGGCCCCGCCGCCTCATCTTCATTGCCCTCTTCCTGCACCGCCTCCCCCTACTCCCTCTCCCTCATCTCCCTCTGCCTGCTCTTCATCCTCCTCATAACCATCGCGACCATCATCATGCACATCAACATGATCAGCATCTTCGTCATCATACCCCACATCACCAACACCAGAATTGCCAGCATGGTCGTGATCGTCATAGCCATAATCATGCAACTAATGTTCACAATGTTCATCATCACCACCGCCTTTATCATGGACTGCAGTATCATCTGCACCACCACAATCACCAGCATTGTCATGGACATCATCAGGAGCAGCAGCAGCAGCATCATCCCCACCAGTTCCATCATCATCACCACCATCAGCATCATCACCATCCTCATCATCATCCTCATCATCATCAACAGCATGATGAGTATCATTATCATCATCCTCATCAGCATCAGCATCAGCATCAGCATCAGCATCAGCATCATCATCGTCCTCATCATCATCATCATCAGCATCATCATCATCATCAGCAGCAGCAACAGCATCAGCATTAGCATCATCATCAGCATCATCAGCAGCAGCAGCACCAGCAACATCATCATCATACTCATCAGCATCATCAGCATCATCAGCCTGATCATCAGTATCATCAGCATCGGCATCATCAGCATTATCATCATCATCAGCATCATCAGCATCATCAGTATCAACATCAGCCGCCTCATCATCATCGTCATCATCATCGTCTTCATCCTTATCAGCATCAGTTTCAGCATCAATACCATCAGAATCGTCATCATCATCACCATCATCAGCATCATCATCGTCGTGTGAATATTCATCATCATCAGCAGCATCAGCATTCTTATCAGCATCACCAGCATCACCAGCGTCATGAGCATCACCAGCATTACATTCATCGTCATCATCATCATCATCATCATCATCATCATCATCCTCATCATCATCATCATCATCATCATCATCATCATCATCATCATCAGCAGTATCTTCATCGTCTCATTCATCATCATCAGCATCATCGTCGTCATCCTCATCATCGTCATCATAATCATCAGCAGCAGCATGATCATCATCATCATCAGCAGCATCATCAGCATCATGAGCAGCAGCATCATCATCATCAGAATCATCAGCATCCGCATCATCATCATCATCATCATCATCATCAGCAGCATCATCATCATCATCATCATCATCATCATCATCATCATCATCATCATCATCATTATCAGTATCAGCATCATCAGCATCATCATCATCGTCATCGTCATCGTCCTCGTCATCATCATCCGCAGCACCATCAGCATCATCATCGTCATATCAACATTCATCATCACCTTCATCCTCAACACCAGCAGCATCATCATCATCATTAGCCTCAGTTTCAGCAGCATCATCATCATCATCATCATAATCGTCATCAACATCACCAGCATCATCGTCATTACCGTCGTCATCATCATCATCATCATCATCATCATCGTTGTCATCATCATTATCCTTATCATGATCAGCATCATCATCATCATCATCGTCATCGTCATCGTCATCATAGTCGTCATCAGCATCATAGTCACCAGCATCACCAGCATCATCATTAACAACAGCATCATCCAAAGCATCATCACAGTCACCATCCTCACCATCATCATCATCATCATAATCATAAGCAACACCCTCAGCATTAGCATAATCAGCATCGTCATCATCATCATCAGCATCATCATCATCCTCGTCCTCATCATCAGCATAATCATCATAATTACAACATCATCATCATTAGCATCATCAGCATCATCATCATAATCATCCCCTCCTAGAACTACCCATCCGCCTTTCACTCCTCATACCCCTCCACCCTCCTCGACGGCGAAGGAAACGAGGAGGATGGGCCAACCTCCCCCCTTATCGTCCGCCTCTATTCTCCCGCTTCCCATCCTTTCCGTCTTCCTCATGATCATTCGCTTCTCGACCTCCCAAATATTTCCCTCCCCGCCTCCTCTCCCGACAGCTCCTCCCCCCTCCTCTCCCCCATCCAACCCCTCCACCTTCCCCTCCTCCTCTTTCTCCTCATCCTACTCATTCCCCATCCCTCCCCCATACCTCGTCCTGATTAGTAAATATTCCTGGCCGCTGGACCAGGCGCGCCGGTAGGGCGGACCAGGCAATTCGCCTGAGACTTCCTCGACGCTTACGATGCTGAAGCTTGAAACGTCGAACCGTATTACGGATAGGGAGCGACTTGTTGTCAATATGTGGCCCTCGACTTAGCGCTGCGCGCATTCGTTGTAGAAATTCCAACGCTTACACAAGATGGAGGGCGAATCGTGAAAAATGTGGAATAGCGCCTCAACGCAACGCACATTCGTCTTAACAGCTTCCAGCAGCGTATGGAGGGCGTGTAGTTTTCAAAATGTGGCTCTCACATTGACACCTCGCACAGTCGTCATCAAAAAAATCCAACAGCTACATGGATGCAGCAAGCGTTGCTTAGAAACGTGGTTCTCGCCACGGCAGCGCGCCCATTCGACGTGAAAGCTTCCGAGAGCTTCAGGGATGGATGGCAGTGCGTTGTCAAGATGTGTCCCTCGCCTCTCGCCTGGGCGCCGCGCACACTCCTGTTGAAAGTTTCCAAGGGCTACAGGGACGAAGAGCAGCTGATGCTCAACATCCCTGTAGCTCTTGGCAAGGAGGAGGAAGAGGAGGAGGAGGGACGAGGAGGAGGGAAGAGGAGGAGAAGGAGGAGCAGCAGCAGCAGCAGCAGCTGGGGCTCTCGACCGATACTTCACACCCCCCTCAGACTGCGCCAGCGTTGCGCGGACGCCTGGCAAGCTCCCTCCAAAACAGGGGGGGGTCCCCACCTTTGTGGGCCCCGGAAACGGCAGGGCCGTTTTTTCCCCGTTTCCAAAAAAATGTCCCTTGAAGATGGAAACGGCAAAAAAAACGGCGACCGGACACGGCAAGAAAACGGCTCCAGGATTGGAACCGGAGCAAGAACCGGTAAAAAAACGGCGACGGAAACGGTCAAAAAACGGCGTCGGAACCGGCAAAAAAACGGCAAAACGGAACCGGTAGAAAAACGGCCCTGTCGTTTCCAGGGCCCACTAAGGTCCCCCCCTGCGACCTCGCACGACATCCGGGAGCGACACCTCGTGGCACGGCCGCGCGCTGGTCCGCGGCGGAGGCGGGCGCCCACGCGGTGGATCAGCCCGCGGGCCCCGGCAGCACTTCTCGAGCGGAAAGGGGGAGGGCGGCCGCGGAGGGGGCAACGCCAGGGGGAGGCCTCAGTGAAGGGGCACCAGGGACACACGAGCAAAATCCCCCCCGAAATCCCAGGATCCCCCATCTCTCTCTTCTTACAGCTTCTGGAGCTTCGGCATTCCCCCCCCCACACCCTTCCCACATTTTACTCATTTTTTCTACGGGGATCGACGAATCTATTTGTGTCTGTGTGTTTTTCGGCGGTGGACAAACCTCCCTTTAGTAAACCTCCCCTTAATGAAAACGGCCTGGGACCGAAACCGACGGGCCTGGACCCGCAAAAATGACGGCCGCGACGCCCCCTCGCGAACCGAAAACGGCCAATTCCTTAATCGACGTGTCAGGGTAGGAGGGCTGTCCACCGCCGAGTTTCCCCCTCCTGCCTCAGGCCCAGCGAAGCTTCGCCACGAGGAGGCGCGCGGGCGGCCTCGGGCACCGAAAAAAACCAGCGCACCGAGAGGGACAGCAACTGGCGCCAGGCAGCCGGATAACTAGGCACCCCTCGCGAGGGCGGCGTCGCGAGGCGCGTGTGGAGGTGACCACGCGGCGCGCGGCGCGCGCCGCTGGGTGACCCAGGAGGGAGGAGGCCAGGGGGAGGAGGAGGAGGAGGAGGAGGAGGAGGAGGAGGAGGAGGAGGAGGAGGAGGAGGAGGAGGATTTTTTTCACTGTATGCTGCTACAGACGGCACTGCAGGTGAATGCGTGGACGGCTGCAGGATGAAGGGTGCCCAGCACCGAAGTTAAAAAGTGCACTGAAGCAACGACACCAGCACAGAAAAGTAAAGGCCAGAGGAGGTTGGAGCACCCTGGGGGTGGGAACCAACACAGAGTCCTCTGGGCAGGTGGCCCCGCCAGCTCCCAGAGACCCCGAGGGGGGTGGAAGCAAGTGGTGCGGCCGTCAGCGCGCTAAAGCTGAACGACGGGCTCCTGCCCGGAATCCCACACACGAGAGCTCTGCTGCGGAGGCAATCCTTTGCGAACTCGCTGCAAAGCCTGCAGCTGCTTAGGGGAAATACGGTGCGGCCCATCCAGGGCCACAACGCAACCAGCTAACAGGTTGACCGGTCGCTGCGTGGCCCACGCACCACACAAACCACAAAATGTATATTTGCCTTTATGCCACAGCTCATGTGAAGAAGATAGTTGCTGCCCTGCAATGAAAGCAGGGTGGGATACGAGCACAGGCGGATCTTCCATGCCAAGCCTGATCCAAAGGGCACCATCGATAGGGGCCAGGGGACCAGGCGCAGACCACAGGCGGGGGGGCGGGACAGGGGCCCTCGGAGCCAGGGCCGCGCAGGCCGAAAGGACACGGTCCCGAAACCCCCCCCCCAGTCTTTTCTTTGGCATGGAGTCCGCATTCAGAACAGCGCCAGAGACCAGGCGCGTGCAATTCAAAATGGTGCTGCGATCGGCTCACAAAATCTACTCGCTTCTGGCGGAGGGCGAGCAGCCTCGGAACCTTTGCTTTCACGACCACGCGCTCCTTGTTCTTCGGCTTACTCGCGATCTCCAAAGTGAGAGTGGCAATCCAGAGCAAGACCTGTTTGGCCTTAAGCTCAAGCGCCAGCAAAGCCTGGCACTGGTGCGCGGGTACCTGATGCGCATCTGCCTTACTGGCGGCGTGCTCGTCCGCTACGCGATTGATATAGACATGATACGGGTCACTGCTTCTCCAAAACCGTTCAAGCTTGTCCGAATTCTCTGCTAAATGTGACGGCACATGCACTAGCTCAAGGGGAACAGACCTCTTACTAGCCAACACCCAGAACTCCCACCACAGGTCAGCATTGGCAAGGTGAAGGCAGTGGTTCCTGCCCTTATCATAGGCCTTGACATGATTTATATGGTCACATACAATCACGAGCGATTCAGACCACCTGACATTGTCCTGACATGGCGTACAATCTCCACGAGAGCAGTGAGCTCTGCTCTGGGAACACTCTGGCGGGAGCTGCCACAGACACCTGTAACTCCATGGCTCCAGGAAGGCACTCCGTCCTCATCAACATCCAGGCGAGCAAAACTAAAGGAGACTCTGCGGAGAAGCGGGTGCTGCGACCACTGTCCGCCTGCACCATCAGAGCGGGAGGGGGAGGAGGAGGAGGAGGAGGAGGAGGAGGAGGAGGAGGGAGGAGGAGGAGGAGGAGGAGGGCGGCGAAGTGCCCACCGCAGAGGCAAGCCGCCGTCCACCCAGCGGGGGAGGCGGCTCCTACCCAGGGCGGGGATCTCGCAGGACACCTCCCCGGTCGCAGACGGCCCCGCGGCAGGTGCGGCTCCTCCTCGCCCACACGGAGGGATGGCGGCTCCTTGCCAAGACGGGGCTCTCGCGAAGCACCTCCCCGGTCGTGGACGGCCCGGCGCTGCGCAGCGGAGCCCTCCCCCGAGCGGCACGTCCGAGGGGGGCGCCCACCGCAGCGACAAGAGACGCTTGCGAGGACACGCGGGGAGGGGCCTCGAGACGGGAGGCGTGCTATGCCGGCATCGTCGGCGCATCCTGGGTTCAGTCTGGTCCTCCTTCTCCTCCTCCTCCTCCTCCTCCTCCTCCAACTCCTCGCTCCTCCTCCTCCTCCTCCTCCTCCTCCTCCTCCTCCTCCTCCTCCAACTCCTCGCTCCTCCTCCTCCTCCTCCTCCTCCTCCTCCTCTCCCTACAACTTCTCCTCGCTCCTGCTCCCCTCCCCCCACCCGCCTCCACCTCCTCCTCCTCCTCCTCCTCCTCCTCCTACTCCTCCTCCTCCTCCTCCTCCTCCTCCTCCTCCTCCTCCTCCTCACCCCCAACCTCTCCCCTCTTCCTCCTCATCCCCCCCTCTCCCAGGCCTGAGCTGGATCGAATCGCGAAATAGGATCGGAACTGAAAAGGATCGGATCGCCGGTAAACCGTCCCAAATCGAATCGACATCAGATCGCCGCATGGGGCACTGGCTGGCCCCCGATGCTGGTGAATCGAATCGAATCGAACCGGAATCGCAGCTCCCGCCCGTAGACGGCACTGCCTCCCCCTCCTCCCTGCTCCTGGTCCTGCTCCTCCTCCTCCTCCTCCTCCTCCTCCTCCTCCTCCTCCTCCTCCTCGTCCTCGTCCTCCTCCTCCTCCTCCTCCCCTCCTCCTCCTCCTCCTCCTCCTCCTCCTCTCCTCCTCCTCCTCCTCCTCCTCCTCCCTCCTCCTCCTTCCTCCTCACCCTCCTCCCCCCCCCTCATCCCTCCCCCTCCTACCTCCTCTTCCTCCTTCCTTCTTCCCCCCCTCCTCCTCCCCCGTGGACCCTGGACCACCCCCACGCCCCCGAGAGCCGGCGTCCTCGGAGATCTCGCCAGAGATGTTCCGGATGTACTCGTGCCCCCAGCTGGTGAGCCCCTTCCAGAGGAGGAGGAGGAGGAGGAGGAGGAGGAGGAGGAATAGGAGGAAGCAGAAGAGGGAGAGGGGGAGGCGGACGGGGAGAGGGGGGGACGGAAGGGAGGGGGCGGAGGGGGAGGGGGAGAAGGAGGTGGGAGGAGGAGGAGGAGGAGGAGGAGGAGGAGGAGGAGGACCACTGGATACCCAAGACGCATTAACGATGTTGCAATGAACCCTCCATCCAAGTCCCCTCTTCACAGGTCCCTACGAGAATCCATTCAATGCGGGAAGTGTCCTATTAGAAGGCAATCGTCCGATAATCCTAAATCCTGTCAAAACGCATTTCCCGGAACTTGAACACCACGAATCAACGTGACCGTGGCGTCCTGATAACCCCACTTCTTACATCTTGCCAGAGCGGAACTAAGGCGAAAGCCATACGTTGAAAACGACCTGCCCTCCATCCTCGAAACTGCCGCAAGCCTTTGAAAGCGACCGTGCGCGGCGCCAAGGCGAGAGAGCGCCCCACGTGGAAGACGGCCCGCCCTCCACCCGCGAAGCTGCCGCACACTCGGAGGAGGAGGAGAGGACGAAGGGGGAGGGCGAGACGAAGGGGGAGGAAGACGAACGAGGAGGAGGCGGAAGGAGGAGGACGGAGGGGGACGAAGACGAAGGGGGAGGAGGAGAAGACGAACGAGGAGGAGGCGGAAGGAGGTGGACGGAGGTGGAGGAGGGCGAGGGAGAGCGGAGGGGGACGGAAGGCTCCAGAGTTCCGTGCGCGCAGAAGCGGGGGACGGGGGCGAGGGGGGCGCCGACGACCGAGAGCCCGACCATGGCCCGCCCGAGGGGCTGCGGCCTCGAAAGAGAACCCGCGGGCTGGTGGCGGCAAAGTGGGACCGAAGCTGGTCAGGGGCACCAGGAGGAGGCAGACCAGGTTCGCCAGGAGCCTCTCCTTCCCCTGAGACAGATGAGGAGGAGGAGGAGGAGGAGGACGACGACGACGACGACGACGCGCAACAACAGGGAGAGTACGCAGAGAGAGGAGGAGGAGGAGGAGGAGGAGGAGGAGGAGCAGCAGCAGGAAGAGGAAAGAAAGAGGAGCAGAGGAGAAAGGGAGAAGCAGGAGGATGCGGAGGAGGAAGAGAAAAAGCAGGAGAGATGAGGAGAAGGGGGAGGAGCAGCAGCAGCAGCGGCAGCAACACGCGGAGGTGGGAGGCGTTGGAGTAGGTGGAGGATTGACGGAGGGAGGGAGGGGGACGAGGGGGAGAAGAAGGAGCAGGAGGAGGAAGAGGAGTGGGAGTGAGAGGAGGGCTACGACGATGAGGACGAGGAGAGGAGGACGCAGAGGTGGATGCAGTGGCGGTGGAGAGGGCGAAAGGGGCACGGGGACGAGGAGGATCAGGAGCGGCGAGCAGCGGTCCTCCTTGGTGCCCTCCAGCCTGTACTTCAAGCTTTGGCGAGACCTAGGACAAGCCCCCCACGGGCGGGCGAGGCCAAGTCTTCGAACACCTCCTCCTCCTCCTCCTCCTGCTCCTCCTCCTCCTCCTCCTCCTCCTCCTCCTCCTCCTCCTGGTGCTGCTGCTGCATTCGTCATCGTCATCGTCATCGGCATCAGCAAATCATGGTCAATATCTTCAACAACGGCATCAGCAGCCTCATCGCCATCATCAACACACACATCATCACCAACACGACCATCGAAGTCGGCATGACCATCAGCATCAGTTACACTGCCGTAGTCATCATCATCACCATCATCATCATCATCATCATCATCATCATCATCATCATCATCATCGTCATCGTCATCGTCATCGTCATCGTCATCGTCATCGTCATCACCACCACCACCACCATCATTACCATCACCATCACCATCACAATCACCACCACCACCACCACCATCATCATCATCATCATCGTCGTCGTCGTCGTCGTCGTCATCATCATGATCAACATAATCATCATCATCGTCATCATCAGCAGCATCATCATCAGCACCATCATCATCATGAATCAGAATCCTTATCATCAGAATCCTCATCATCAGCAGCATCATCATCTTCTTAATCAACCCAATCAGCCTGCTCATCATCAACGACATCATCACCACCATCATCATCATAATCATCATCATCAGTATCAGTATCAGCATCATCATCATCATCAGCATTATCATTATCATCGTCATCAGCATCAGCATCATCATCATTACCCTCGTCATCACCATCATCCTGATCATCATCAGCATCATCATCATCGCCATCATCACCACCACCACCATCATCATCATCATCATCAGCATCATCATCAGCATCGCCATCATCATCATCAGCAGCATCATCACCATCAGCATCATCGTCATCATCGTCTTCGTCATCAGCATCAGCACTATTATCGTAATCATCATCGTCATCATCATCATCCTCGTCCTGCTCATCGTCATCATCATCGTCGTCTTCGGTGGAGCGACACTCGCCGTCCGCCGAGGCCAGCAAGCATCATCATCGTCATCATCGCAAGATTACCGACCGTCAAACATCAAGCGTCATTGTCCTCAACATCATCGCAATCATCATTGATATAATCGCCAACGCCGTCATCATAATCAACATCATGACCACCAACATCATCATCATCATCAGCATCATCAGCATCAGCATCATCAGCATCATCATCGGCATCATCATCTTCAACATCATCGACAGCGTTATCATCGTCATCAACGTCATCGCCATCGTCGTCGCCACCACCATAATCATCATCATCATCATCATCATTATCATCATCATCATCATCATCATCATCATCATCATCATCATCATCATCATCATCATCATCATCATCATCATCATCGCCACCACCACCACCATCACCAGCATCGCTATTGTCGTCGGCGTCGTCCTGCGAGTCACGATCATTTGACTTCCCTATAGTACTCCTCGAAACTCCTCTCTCCCCTGTGCCTCCTTCGCAACCCTTCCATTCTCCATCTCCTCCTCCTCCTCCTTCTCCTCCTCCTCCTCCCGCGCCTGAAAATATGGCATGAGTTTTTTACACGAAAGCCCTCCCCCCAAGAGCCCAAAATGGCTCCAAAACCTGTTGCCTTTTCGCCGTGTCGCTCCCGGTGGGCTTTCGAAGCCTCAAGATGGCCCCAAGACGGCCCAAGAGAGCCCCGAAAGAGGACAAAGAGGGTCACAGTAGGGCCCCAAGAGCGCCCAACAGCGCCCTAGGAGCGGCCCGAAAGGGCCCCAAGGCAATTTTCTAAGCCTCCGGAGGAGGGGGAGGCTGAATTTAGGACACCCCACCCCCTTTGGGAGCCTTCGGCCCAAGATCGCCCCAAGGAGCATCCCAAACACCTCCAAGGAGCCTCAAAAAGAACCCAAGACCCCCCAAAATGAGCCCCAATAAGGCCCCAAGAGTACCCACAAAGGCCCCCCCCACGGGGGCCTTCAAGAACCTCTCACAGCAAGATACCTCCAAAGCTCGACTTTTCATCCTCCTTGTCACCTTCCGTTCCTGCCCTTTTCCTTTTCCTTTTCCTGCATCCTTCTCCTCCTCCTCCTCCTCCTCCTCCTCCACCTCCTCCTCCTCCTCCTCCTCCTCCTCCTCCTCCTTCTCCTCCTCCTCATCATCATCATCATCATCATCATCAACATCATCATCATCATCATCATCATCATCATCATCATCATCATCATCATCATCAGCAGCAGCATCATCAGCATCACCGTCATCGACATCACCATCATCATCCTGATGATCATCATCATCATCACCGTCATTACCATCATCATCAGCACCATCTTCATCCGTATCATCATCATCACCACCACAACCGTCATCATCACGATCACCATCGTCATCACCATCACCAGCATCATCAGAATCATCACCAGCATCATCACAATCAGCATCATCATCATCGTATTCATCATCATCATCATCATCGTCATCAGCAGCAGCATCGTCATCATCATCTTCCTAGTGTCTTATTCCTCCTCCTCTTACCACTCCCCTTCTCTTCTTATTCCCCTTCCTCCCCTCTTGGTTCTCCTCCTCCTCCTCCTCCTCCTCCTCCTCCTCCTCCTCCTCCTCCTCTTCCTCCTCCTCCTACCCCCCAAGAGGGATGGTCCCAGGATGTGAACATGGCCCAAGATAGCCTCGGACAGACCTCCCGGAGGCCCCAAGACAGCCACAAGACGGCCCAAGATAGTTCAGCATGGTTCAGGACAGCCTCCGACAGATTCTAGCCGAACCTAACTCGCGATAGCGTCCGAAAGGCCTCAAGAAAGCATCCGATCGCGTCCGGATGGGATTGCAGGGGATATTTTGGTCGCGGCCGCGGGCGAGAGCGCACACGGCGAATCGTAAGTCGGGGGCGCGGGCCTACTAATTGACAACAGGAGCAAACTAGAGCCGCACACCTAAACTGCCTAAGCTGCCTAAGCGGCGCCTCACGTGAGCTGCAAGCTGCACTGAGTGTGGAGGCCAGGGCCAGGGTTTGCACGCATGCAACGAGCTGCAGGGGGTGGCGGACTGCCAGGGTGGCCGGCTGCCAGGGGCTGCAAGCTGCGAAGTGAATTGTATGCAGGGGCGTAACCACCCACGGGACTGCAAGAGTGCCAGGGTGGCCAAAAGCCAGGTGGACCGACCGTCACGACATGAATTGGATGCGAATGAACTGGGCAGAAGAAGCTGCGGCGCGGCCAAATTGGCGCGTGGGGGCACCGCGATGTGACCAGGGTGGGCACCTCAGAATGACCCAAGATGCCTGCAAAGGCCAGGCAGGTGCGAGTGGTGGCGCCAGCAAAGTCGCACACCCGAGCCCCGGACAGAGGGGGGCGCAGTCCGCGGTCGACACACCTGGGATGGCGACAGACGCGAACAGACGGCGGGAGGGTGTACACCGACACTGCAGCCGAAATATTGCAGGGGATACGCGAAGCGTCAAGAATTGTGACTGGAAGGCAACAGTACTTGAGCCAAAAGATGACGTGTCCAAAGAAAACCATTCCGGACACCTCTCCGAGAACTGCTCTACTACAAGACGTAGCTGTCTAACCGGCTTCTCCAGGCGTGGTGAAAACGATTTCTACACGCACACCCTCGGCCACGACTGGCCGCAAAAGACGCCGGAGGTGCAAACGTTGCAACGATACTATAAGACACAAAGCAAAACTGCGAATCTAAATAAGTAGCCATCCTAACAGGTGGTGAAACTATAACAACCGAAAACAGAAATGGTGCAAGCACAAGGCGACTATGTTCTGGGCGTAAGCGCGCAGAGGCCTCCAAACACGCGACACACTACTTCTAGGTGTCGCCAAGCACCCAGTCATGCAAAATGAAAAACTTGTTCGGTGTTTCGGAATAAAACGCGTGGACGAACGCCTGGATCTCATGCGATCCTGAGCTCAAGTCTCCGGCGAAGCGGCAATCGATGAGATCCAAAAAATTAATATGACACTCCGTAGCGGGCGCACGCTCGTGTCTTCCGTAAGAAATCGTTGGAATGCTAACCTCTCTGATGCATGGACACGCCGTCCCTGCTCGCATATTTCGTTAAACCGTCTGCAAAGTTCCCATGAATTCCTACATTGATCCCTTTGATGTTTCCTCGTCGTAATTGCCCATGCAAGCAAGGGAGCGAAACCACGATGAGTCTGGCTTGTCCTAGCCCTCGCCGGACAGCAATGGCAACGGCCGCACTGGCACCCCTTTTGAACGAAGTGCCACAATCAGAATCGAACTTCTTGGGTACTGAAGAAGTAGCCCTGGAGCTACTGGACCGTTTTTCACCATGCTGCAATACTCGGCTTCTTCCGACGATGACGCCACTACTCTCTGAGTCGACATCCTCGACTTCATCGCATGTGATCCCTACATGAGTGCGCCTCCGCTTCTTGACTTTTACGCGCCCAACTGCATCTGGCAAAATCTGCGTCAGCCCACACGGCGATATCCACGGAACGGCCGGTGCAAACACGGATACCCGCACCCGTCGCAGTTCTGGAGGCACTTGCCCAATGTAGTTATTGAGGCACCTGCCCAGTTTTGCAAAGCTGTTCCACGCCCCTCGAGTTGGGGCTGACATAGGGCGCGCAAGCTCATTGACTGAGAAATGCATATCTGAACGGCCCTGCGATATATATATATATATATATATATATATATATATATATAGTTGTCCCTGGCCACGCCAGCGCGGCATTTCTTGACTTCATGGCTCGGCAAATTATCATAAGATTCTTCTTCGCTGAACTGCTTTCAAATTGGCAGGTCAGATTTCACTTGAAATTACCCCAGGCCTAACCCTCCAACGCATCTCTGGACATACCTGATGCACCTCATATCTTCACCCATCCCAGCTCCATCCCACCAGTCGGTCGAGAGCCCCCGTTGACTTCGAATATTTGGGCCCTGGTCCGCACCCGCCCAAGATCGACACTTCGAAAGTGTC